TAGAAGCAAATTCAATACTTCTTTGTATAGGAATTATAGTTCCTTGGTCAATTTCATGTCCTAAAAATCTAACCCTTGTTTGGAAAAATTTCATCTTAGGATCAGATATTACTAATCCATTATGCTTAATTAATCTTTTGAATATTTTCAAATGTTTAATATGTTGATCTATAGTTTTTGAAAAAACTAAAACATCATCAATATAAACAATTATAAATTCCGTATAAGGATTAAAAATATCATTCATAATATTTTGAAATTCAGAAGGGGCGTTTTTAAGACCAAAAGGAAGGACATTCCATTCATAATGTCCAAAAGGTACGATAAAGGTTGTTTTATACTTATCAGATTCATTAATCTGAATTTGCCAATAACCATATTTTATATCAAATTTAGAGAAGATTAAAACATTGTTTAATCTATCTAATCCATTTTAACACTTTATTAAGTGGTTTATAATTAATAACGAGTCTAGGAACTCCACGTTCCTTTTCTGCAGCATTATTGACATAAAAGGCTGTGCAACTCCAAGGAGATTTGGATTTTCTTATTAATTTTTTCTCTAAAAGAGATTCTATCTCTTTTTTGCATAAATTCAAATACTCGTGGTTCATTTGAGCAGACCTAGCTTTAGTGGGAATCTGACTTTAATTAAAGTCATCGAGATAAGGTAAGGAAATAACATGTTTCTTTCTATCCCAAAAGGCATTAGGTAAATCATTGCATATTTCATTTCTAAACTATTGATCAATTAATTTAATTTGATTTTGAATTTCGGGTTTGTTAAGCTGAGAAGTGATGTTTAATAGATCAACTTCTTCTTTAAGGAAACAAAATTGTTTTTCTTTTTAAAAAAGAATATCTTTAACTTCATTAAAAATCCTGGTATGGGGATCAGTAATAAATTCAAAAGTAATTCTTTTATTATTAATAATGGAGGTAATTCCCTTTTGATCAACATTAATTAGAGGCATAATTTTATGCAGAAAGGGAGTTCCTAGTATAATTCTATGAGTTAAATTTTTTACAAGAATAAAGTGAGTGGGTAAACAAATATCTTTGTTACAAACATAAGCATTAGACAATTTATAATTAACCGTGAGTTTATCTCCTCCAGCTTGTGTAAGAGATTGAGTAGTTTTATCAAAATATTTAGTGGAAATTATTCCTTCTTGAAGGCAGTTTAAATCAGCTCCACTATCAATAAGGGCAACTTCATTTTCTAATATGAAATTTCTATTAATAACTAATGTTATTCTAACAAACCATTTTTGAGAAGTTACTCTATCAATGCGAGAAAGGAATCTATCACTAGGTGAATGATTACTAGGGGAAGTTATTTCTTCAATTTTTGAATTATTGGACTCTAAGAAAGTGAGCCTTTGAGATAAACCATAATTTTCTTTTTTAATTTGAGCTATCTCAATTTTTAAGAGATTTATTTCTCTATTTAAATCCATAATAGAAACAGGAGTTTCACGAATGATAGATTGTCTAAATCTAGACAAAACCTCACTTAATTGGTAAGGTGCTTCTGTAATAATAGGAGATTCTCTTTTAGAGTTTTCTTGGATTAGAACCTCAAGCATTTTTCTTTTAAGATTTTTATCAGAAATGGACTCTATAACCTTTATAGCTTCATCCTGTTCTGAGGTTAAAACATTTAACCCATTCATATCCAATATTGATTTCCAGTAATCTAATTAATTACATTGACAATTATTATTGTTAGAAGATTCAGATGAGTAATCAGAAGAAGATTCATAAATCATATTAAAATCTTCTTCAGAAGAGTAATCTTCAGAATCAGATTTGAGTAGTAAAACTTTCTCTAATTGAGAACGTAATTGTTCATCTTCTATTTCGTTATGAGCTTTTTTAGTCCAGCATTGGTTGACATAATGACCAGGTTTGCCACATTTATGACATGTTATGTCAAGCTTTTTGGCTTTTCTTTTACCTTTAGGTCAAAAGATTTTTCTTTAGGTCTACCCTTATTGTAGTGACCCCTTTTCTTATTCTTATAAGAATTTTTATAAGAGTTTTTTTGGCTTATTCCTATAAGGTTTATTGCGGAAATTTTTTCCTTATTTCTTTTTATTATCTGGAGATTTTCCAAGACCAAAAGCAAATTGTTCGCAAAATTCACCAAGTTGGTGTTTCTCAGAAAGCTTTTGCTTTTTAAGTTGATTTCTAAGCTTTATGTCATTACATAAAGTTAATCCTTCATTAACAGAAGTACTAATTATTTGACCATAAGTTAGGTCAGAATAATTTATATTTATTCCATCATTTTTTTGTTTTAAAGATTGTCTAACCTTTTCAGAAAAAAAATGGAGTAATCCATCAATAAATTTTGCTTTCCAGTGCAAAGAATTGAGATTGTTTAATTGATAAACTCTTGAAAGAAAAGTATCCTTATACCATCTAAAGTGGGTAAGAGAAGGACACCTAAGGTTTTAGAGAAGTGTCTGGATTTTTTCTCCAATGGGGACATTGGTTCCTACAAAATGTTGTAAGATGGAAAGACACAGTGTATACACTACATCTTCTTCTCCTGTGGTGGTCGTAGCCATAATAGTGCTCGTATTAGTTCTTGGTTCGTTCTTAACGATTTTTTTGTGATTAAGAATCTCTAATTTTTGAGATTCAGTGAGATAATGATCCCACCAGCCTCTAAGTTGGCCAACAAATCCTGTTGTTATAAAGGACACTATTGAATTATCAAAATTTCCATGTTGCTTGCAAACAGTAGAGTACATGATCATCCTATGGATTGTATCTATAGTTTGTTTGTCATTAAGACCATCAACATTCCATTCATAAATGGTTTTTCCTGAATAAGAATTTTGGAAAGGTTCTGATTCCTCAAAAAGCAAATCTTGCGGTGAGGGACGCTTGTAATAATACTTTTCTACAGGTCTTAGGGAATAAACAGGGTTTATACTATTAGTATTATTAATATCAAGGTTACTAATGTCTAAATTAGCAAACATATCAGAAAGCTGGTCAATATGGTCATCATTATTATCCTCAGAATAATCTTCATGGGACATGACAGTGATATTAAGTCCTTTTAATTTTTGTTCTAAAATACGAACAAATTCTTCTCCATTGGTTTCCATTTTAAATCCTTATATGGAAACGGGAGGTTGCACTATAGGAACATCCGAAATAGTGGATGTGGATATTTGGTCTTTAGGTTTATTTATGTGGTCAATAATGATATCTTGACGCTCTATTTGTTTTTCTAAAAGATCTTTTATGGATAAGAGATCTTTTTCCATGGAGATAAATTGTTCTCCTAAGCAAACAAGATAAGCATTGGTATAATTTTGAGACCTGATGACTGAGTTTAATTCCTTAAGAGTAACTTGACTTTGTTCAACCTTTTGTAACTGAAGGCTAAGGTAAGGGGTAGCTTCAGTATTTTGACTCAAACTTATTGTTTGTTCAGGGGGAAAAGGAGATTCCATTACTTCTCCTCTAATATTTTCCCAAGGTCTTTGTAACACAAGAATTTCTTCTTGCTTTTTATTTATGAAATAATTAACAAACCATTTAACAAAAGGAACGAAATCCTGCTCAAGGTTCATTTGAGTGTAATACTCATTTTTAAATTGGGCTAATTCAGGTTTTGAAATTTTTAAAAAAAATCAATTTCTAAATTGAGAGTATCTCTCATGTTGAAACTCATCATTGACGAACAAATTATAGATACAATCCATAGGATGATCATTTTGAATATATATATATATATATATATATATATATATATATATATATATATATATATATATATATATATATATATATATATATATATATATATATATATATATATATATATATATATATATATATATATATATATATATATATATATATATATATATATATATATATATATATATATATATATATATATATATATATACACACGTTTCAATTTCATGTTTTGATTTTATCTAGACAAACGAATAAAGATGAAAACTCGATTCTGACAACCTTACTATGCTACTCAACATCTATTTTTTGTGTGATTTTCTTTGATAATTTAGTTTTATCAATGACATAGTTTTATCTCCCTTTTATGATAATTTAGAGAATTTTCCATACCATTTCTTGTTATTAAGTTAATAAACGCTTATACGAAACAAATAATTTTGATACCCATCATTGTCTAAATGCGAATATAATATAGTCATATCATATTTCAGAATACCTTATAACATTCACCACATTTATTCTGATCACAATTTTCTATTAGTCTAAACTCATTTTTATTATATTATTTGCATATTTACAATATAACCACTTCTTTTTTTAAATATAAGACACCCGATGATCTTAACCACATAGTAGAAATGCAAAAAAATCATAAAATAATTTTAAATTACATGTATTCTACTCCTGCATTTTATAAAAAAAATGGTAAATGTTGTTCGGCATACATACTAATAGTCTAAAAGTGAGAAGAAATAATGTGGAATGATTTTTTTAATTGTTTAAACTTATTTTTCACTAAGAGCAATATAATCTTTACATGAATATTTTCATGGGTATTGTAGGGGTTCCATTGTCAAATTTTGGCGTGTCTGGAAGAAATCTCCATCGCATTGGCCCAAAAACCAAGCCCATGAGATTTAATGCTTGCAACGCACCGTTTTGTTAGAGCTGAAAAAAGGTCTCGATTCCAACAACAAACCCATAACACTCTTCTTCTCGAAAGATTCATTTCCTTTGCTCTCAATTCAGTGTTTCTCTGCGTTTTCCTCAGGTTAAGCTTTCTAACGTTCGTTTCACATCGTTTTTTCGTAGTTTTTTTTATTCCTTTACTCTCATTTTTATATCTGAAATCGAAAGTATTTAAGTTAATTTTTTATTCAATTTTCTTAGTTTTGGTACATAATTTCAGTATTACTTCCCTTATTCTTCAACCCTAAACCCTAACATTCGCAACCTTTTATTGATATCATTTTTCTTGTTTTTCAGCAAATATGGCAGACGAAACACCAATTGACTTGAAGGAAGAGGTTGCAGATGTAAGTTTGTTTTCCCCATAGTTATCTATAGTTTAACTATTGTGTTTCCTTTGATTGGGTCCAATGTTTGTGTAATTAGGCTTATTTGAATTTAGTTGTTATAAATTGGTACTTTGGTATGATGATATTGTTTTGTTTAACCTATACCATTGTTGTAAAATTGAGATTGAAATTGTGAATTAGAAGACTTATTTTCTGAATTGGGAATTCAATCTTATGTTGAATTGTAAGATAGGTTATCAAATAAAAATATGACTTTTTTAAGGAAACCAAGGTATATTGAAAAATTATAAGGTAGTATATATCATCTAGTAACCTCAAAATAATTCAAGATTCAAGTCATAAATCAAATGAAAAATACAATTAAAAACCCAGCTATACAAAATTGACAACGAAAGTGAGCTGATTTGCATTTAAGCAGAGTAGTCAATAGCCGCCAATAGCGGCACTATCCTCCTATAGTGGAGCAGACCATAGGCCGGCCGGCCGCTGTGGGAAGAGTCTTAGTGGTGGAGAACACTACAGCGGCTACTATGGGGTAAATCACGGGTAGCGGGGGCTGAGCGGTTCCTGTCCTGCTATCCTTTTCCCTCTGAAAAACCAAAATTACCCCTTAAATTTAAAGAGGTTTAAGGGTAATTTTGGGTTTTTCAATTTTATTTGAGTTAAGACTCAACTCTAACCTTCCTTCACTAACATTTCAAAGAAAAATCACAAGTTCCTCCCTCACATCTCTCTGCACTTTGTTCTTCCCTCTGCACTTCACATGTTTATAATTATTATTCATGTAATTTGTCCATAAAATGATCAAATAGCAGACCTCCCGCCATACGCTATCCCGTTATCCCATTTTTGGGGTCGGCCACTCCACACCGCTATCCGGGATCGGCTACTCTACATTTAGGTAGTGATTCATCATAGTGAATTGGGATTCATCATAATGGACCATAACTCAAGATGTGATTCCTGTTCAAAATAGATACATGCTAGATTTTTGTATCTGTATAGTAAGATACTGATAAGTGATAACCAAAGTAGGTACTTCAGTTTGTATCAACTGTATTATCTTCTCATGCATGAATTGCTAAATTGCAGATAGCACCATTTGACCCTACTAAGAAGAAAAAGAAGAAGAAAGTTACAGTTATAGATCCTGCAGCTGATGAATCGGTGGATAAGTTGGCTCAGAAGACTGAAAATCTGTCAGGTATGAAAATTATAACAAGCATTAGCAATCTCTTGTCATGGTTTATGTTTTCAAAGTCATCTGAAAATGGGGCTTAGGCAATGTTGATTCTCATTAGCTATTCACTTGCAGTTGCTGATGAGGCAGAGTCTTCATTTTCTGGTTTGAAAAAGAAAAAGAAGAAACCTGTAAGTCTCTTTTTTCGAGCGTTCAAGTTATTTTTTTGGCTAGAGTTGTTGGGAGAAATTTCACTCTTGGAAGTTTGTTATTTGATGATTGTAGGTTGAAATCAGCAACTTAATCGAGGAGAGTGGAGAAGCAGCTGAAGATTTGGAAGGTAAACAGTCTAATAAATGTAAACATTTTTGTATTGTTGGTGGACTGTGTGCTTTAGTCTTGGACATTGTTGTTGATGGCGGATGGCGGTCCGTGGCGGAGAGCTAAAATCCCGCCATACCGGCCACTTTGCGGCGCTGTTATTGCGGATTATGGCAGAAAAACCCAAAATAGCGGCCGATATTTATCATTGCGGAAAACCTAAAAACGCAATGTATATCTGCCACAGCGGCCATGGCTCTGCAATTTGATAACACTGGTCTTGGAAGTGTAATGAATTCTAAACATTTGGTAGAAGTTTTTGCTTTTAGATCTTCCTGAAGAAGATGAAGAAGAAGCAGTTTCTTTGCAGCCTCGTTATCCTTGGGAAGGGAGTGACCGTGATTATGAATATGAGGAGGTGTGTCTTTTTTTGTTCTTTCTGATGCACAGCTATACTAACCTCTTCCTTTCAATGCCGTTTTCAAATTTCTGTTACACTTTCATCTCAAACATCTCTAGGTTTGTCTAATTGACAGTGGTTTGGGCCTTCTAATGGGCTGATGTTATACGGCTCTTGCGTGCTTATATTTTTAAAATTGAAGAAGCATGTTAATTAATGATCCACACGAGGCTGATAAAATGTCTGATTATACGTTTTTGGTGCTTTATCCTTGTTGGAATAAGCCATTTCACTTTGCTTGGACTATGAGTTGTGGTCAATATATTATGTAAAGCATTTATAGTCTACCCTTTTCATTTTTCACTTGGAAATTGCTTCTAATCCTCGATGCCCTTTTTTTCTTGTGGATTCTAAATAATTTTTGTTACAGCTTCTTGGCAGGGTGTTTAACATTCTACGTGAAAACAATCCAGAACTTGCTGGAGATCGTCGAAGGACAGTTATGAGGCCTCCTCAGGTTCTTCGTGAAGGCACAAAAAAAACTGTGTTTGTGAATTTTATGGATCTATGCAAAACGTATGTTGATATTTTATGTTTTTTTTTGCACTATATACATCCTGAATTTCACTATAGGCCAATATGCTTGGAAAGTAGCATATTTGAGATATTTCTATCAACCCAGCTATTCTTTTTGGCAAGTGATTATTATCACTGTTGTGATTTGTTTAATTCACTTGTTGAGCTTGTGTAATCCCAAATGTTTTTAATGCATATTAGAAACAAATTTTTCTATCCTCAATGCGTCCCTCTTGATGATGTTCTGTTGCTCGTTCTCTAAACTGTCATTCTAATCTTTCAGGATGCATCGACAGCCAGACCATGTTATGGCTTTTTTGCTTGCTGAGCTAGGTACTAGTGGCTCCCTAGACGGACAACAAAGATTGGTTGTTAAGGGAAGATTTGCACCAAAGAATTTTGAAGGAATTCTGCGACGATATATTAGTAAGTATTTGTTCCCAAAATTTAATATTCTGTATTTCAGAAATGGAAAGGTTCTTAACTATAAAAAATTCTGTTATTTGTTCTCTCTGTTTCATTATATATGTTAAAGTAGTTTTAAAATAAATTCAGGCTAGCAGAACAAAAGTTTGTAAGGCCATTATTAGTCTACGGTTCTTGTACTGGTTGTTGATTGAATTTTTTACACTTTTTTCTTAGATGAATATGTTATATGTCTTGGATGCAAGAGTCCAGACACAATACTTTCAAAGGAAAACCGTCTCTTCTTTCTTCGGTGCGAGAAGGTAAATTTTCTACTACATCTGTCTGCTTTAGATGTTTTACCATTCAGCATTGTATAATAATACTGGTATATTGCTTGCAGTGTGGATCGGGAAGATCGGTTGCTCCAATCAAAGCTGGTTTTGTTGCTCGTGTTGGCCGAAGGACTGCAGGGTCATGATTTGGCACTACTTTTTTGTTTGTGTTGAAACTGGTAATATGGTGATGCCTTCTTTAATGGATAAGCTTTGTTATCCTTTTTTTTTTGGGTTGAAAAATGTTTCAATAAATATGATAATTGCTCATTATTTGAGGTATTTAGGCCATTTAGAAAATAATTGACCTGCAATTTTGGAGTTTAGTTAATGGTTTGTTAAGGAGTATGTAAATTTTGGTGCACAAAATATCCTGTTTTACGTCCAAACCACAAATTGGCCTGTCTCTTTGACGGGTCTTATCTGCCGATGTTGGTACATTGAAGAGTGCCATGCTGAGCTGACTGAACAATGTTTATGCACAGCCGGAAATAATGTTTTCTGGCGAGGTCTTCTCGGCGAAAGAGTGTGTTAATTTCATTTCATAGCTACTTTCTAATTTCATATCTTCCCATATGTCATTCATTTCTACATATCTCAAATTTTTATTCTTAAATATCCCAGCCATTGACAAACTACCCTACTTGTATCTCAGATTAGATATCCATTTTGCGTGAATGTTAATATTGAGATTAACATCTAAGCAGATGATAGATGTTGAATTAACATAAACAGCTATACGAGTAACTTGTATCTAATGCTTGAGTAGTAATGCTTGAGTAGTGTTTAATGGCAAGGACCCAATCACATCTGCATGTTGAATCGTGTTATAAAGCTTGGGTTCCTATTGATTTTCATGGTTATTTTTATTAAATATTGTTAATACTTGATTCAAAATAATTAAATTTCCTATTGAAAAATCTCCTAGAAGGTTTTTATTGATATTTAAGATATTAAAATTTTTCCTTGTAATATTAAACATGCCAAAATGTACAATAACTGGGTGTGGATTAAGGATGCCTTGATTGTATCCAAGCCCAGTTTAATTTGGACATGAGGCCCGATTAATGCATTTTCGTCTTTTATAAAAAGGAGCTTGAATTCTGGCGTTCAATCACCAATAAATTAATAAATATGCTCTTACTTCATGTGTGAATTGATTTTATTTTATTTTAAATAAAAATAGTTTCAAAATTTTTGTTTTAAAAGAAAAATAATTGGGTTTTAAGAGAATAATCCGTTGTCAATTGTATTTAAGAGAATAATGGATTTTATTTGATTTGGTAAAAATAACAGATTATGTAACAAATTTATAACTGATTTTGTATTTGGTTTTGTTGTAGAATGTGGTCGTGGTTATGAATTCTAGTACATCTAAATTATATAGTTTATAAAACTATTCAATCATGCATAACCATAATATGAATATGACTAGTATATATCAATAGTTCATTCTTTTTCACTCTTTCACTCTTTATTTGTTTTTTTTTCTTCTTCAATTAGTTTAATGGTTGATAATTCACTAAACGATGAATAAATTTAATATTGTGGATTCAAACTTGTGTCTCTATATATGTTTTTGCACAGTTACAAATTAAGCTGGTTTAACGAAACTACTCTTTATTTGTTTAAGTTGTGTTATTTTAACAGTTAAAATTTTTAAGACAAATTCTTAAGCGATTAATTCAATTACTAAGTTACTCTTTATTTGTTTAAGTTGTGTTATTTGAACAGTTAAAATTTTTAAGACAAGTTCTTAAGCGATTCATTCAATTATTTAAGTTATTTAACGTCTATATTGTTATTTGTTTTTAAAAAATTTGTTCCATCCAAAAATGCATATGTAACATTAAGTTTGTAAGATGGTTGTATTGTTGATGACATTTTTTTATTTACCTCTCTCTATATATATCTAATAATACACACAAAAATTCTCTCTTATACACGAACACAAAGTAACCCGCCCTCCTTTCAATCAAACACAAACTTTCAAAATCAATATTTAAAACAAACCATTTTTTCAATTTTTTGGAAGCGAAATTAAAACCATAAACATCAAACTTCCATATTTTTTACGTCGGAGCTAGGTGGTTCCTTGCCGAAATTGTGCGAAATATTGTCGGTGGTGCGTTCAAGAGGTGTGTCGATTTTGTGCGCGATACAAATGACGGCCTGCACATATTTCATGTGGTTATAACGATTTCCAGTGGCGTGGTTCTAATCAAGATGCTGTTGTTTCCAACCTTGTAATGCTACATAAGTGTTTTTGATGCGGTTGTTTTGAAAACTAGTGATGGATTTACTGTAACACTTCACCTCTATTTCCAAACTCATCTCTGTAGTAAAGAAGTTGTCGATGTTTGATGTACATCGTTTTGACTTTCGTGAGAGATCCCTCTGAGACATCAGAAGAGAGTATTGTTGTGAAACTTAGGAAGAATAAAAAAAAGAAAAAGAACACACGATAAATTCAAATGGTCTTATATATGTCTACTTTGAGAAATAACACTTGATGATGATGATTAAATGAAGCAGAAATAAGCAAAATTGAACGTGGTTCAATTCATCAAATCAAAACTATTTTAAGTGTCAAGCTATTAATTGAGGGGTTGTTGTTGTTGAGTGTGGAGAAAGAGGAGAAAAGGGGAAGGAATAGGTTTAGATGGTTGTGTGAAATTGTTTAGATCTTCTTCTAGTAATTTTAATGGTGTTGCTGTTTCTGTTATCACATATAAACACACGATGGTGCTGCTGCTTCTCATGGTTTTGTAGGGTACCAAAGGAAGAATAAGAGGAGAAAGAGTTTTTGGGTAATTATTTAGAGAGACAAAGAAATGGAGAGGATCTCATGAACATATATTTTTACTACCAAATTATATAATATTAATCAACATATAAAGTGATTTTTGTTTTAATTCCTTATTCTTTATCTGGATATATCATACTAAGAATATTTCGAATTACCACTACACTGTTAATTTATGAATACATATGGAATTATCAAGAACATATATTGTTTATGCAATCAACAAGAACATATGCAAAAAAAAAAAAGAAAAATTGAAGTGCTTCTGCCATCTGATTGAAAACTGTCACACACCAAAGGTGGCAATGAAGGCCAGTGTCATCAGTGTTGAAACAAGTGGCATATAAATTCCCCCATACAAACCTGTGGCACTATTAGGATCCTTATACTTTGATGTATCAAAACCTACATAATCAAAAGCACCCCAAAAAAGGTTTAATCTTGACACCAGAGATTAAGAATAATCAACTTTTAAATGTATTATTTTTATGGTGTTACCTTTAAGTTCATTGCATGCATTCATAGTAACATTCTTGACAAAAGAGTAGGGTGCTTTAGCAAAATAGAAGTCTCTATTAACATCTTGAATGCATTTCAAGATCAACAATGTGTGATCATAGCAACCATTTGTACAAAATTCATTGATTTCAGAGTCTTGCACGTTTAGAGTACCATTTAGTGTGATTATGTAGTTTGATTTGTGGCTGCAAGCGTTTGATTGCTACATACATTTTGAAGCAAATTATTATTGTATATATATGGAATTAAGAGATTAAATATATGTTCATTTTAAAAATTGTTTACTAATTACATTCATCAAGCAGAAGTAAGCACTCCTCCAACTCTCAAAAGGGCTTAGATTGACATTTATTCTTGGTTGCTCCCTATCTGAAATGAGAGACACAAAAAACTAAGTTTATTTGTTCTTCCTTCAAATTGTAATTTAATAACTATCTGGTCTCTCAAAATAGAAAGAAAAAAAAACACCATAGAGAAGAAAAAAAAATGGAAGAATAAGGAATACTAACTTTCAGCATTGGTGAGATTAAAAAGCATGAGAAATAATAACCCCAAAGAAATGCAAACAAGGGAGGTGCTATTAGCGTTCTTCATTATTCCTTAATGATCAAGTTAAGGAGACTTAGTTGAGTATGTATGTTGTGTTTGCAATGGACACTTATTTATATCATGTTTTTGAACAACATTTGTGGAGATTAAAACTAGGAAAAATATTGTTGTTTTAGGCATATGCTTAGAAGGTGGATCAAGCATTTGTGATACAAACAAGGGACCATTTGAAGTTTTAGAAACATAACAAAATAGAGGGTTTGCATCATGACAAAATGAAACATGTTTTGGAGCTTTCTGTCGGAAATTAAGAGGTGGAATACAATGATTGTATCGTCCTAGGATAACATGGATATATCAAGTGTGTTTATTCGAATTGTTTTTGTCAAATGTTCATTTTTATATTGAATTACTTTTTCCACCCTATAGAACTATGAAATGATGGTGAATATACTGAAAATTCGAATTTGTTATTTTATATTTTAGAGATGCATATTTAAATGCATTTATAATAGACACACTACATTATTTTGAGAATGACAAATTGAGTTGGAACGATAATAAGAGAAATGAGTTTTTTTTAAGAAATAATCTAGTGCTTTAGTGAATGGGTTGGTCGAATATAAGAAAAACTCATTCATTAAATTTAAATAAAATAGGGGTTATGAAAGTGTATCTTTGAAATATTTCGGAGACCTATATTAGAACAAATCATAAACCTCTTTATTATGGGTCCCATGGGTAAATCTTATGGTTTTCTTTTTAAATGTTTATAGGATTTTATGAATATGGTTCATTTGATAACACACATAAGTTATATCATTCTCACTTTTATTCCCCAGCACCTCCCTCCTAGTAATCCTTTTAATGATGCCTTTGCGATCAAAGATAACACACACTCTATCTAAACTAAGGATTCTTGCCATCATCAACGAATTGATGATGCCCTGAACTTCAGTGGACATGTTGTAGCCTCTTTGATTTCAAGTGAGTTCAACAACCCTATGTTTTTCTTTATCCTCGATGACGACACAGAGATTCCAAGCGCCTTTTATAGTAAGGTACACATCTGTGTTGATTGTGTACTCATTGTCATGTGATGACTTTTTTAACAAGTGAACTAATCAAGTTGAAGTAATAAAATTAAGATCATCTCCACAAGGATTTCTATTTTAATTAGGTGAAATTCATGCTAATTGAAAAGTAAAATCGAGAGATTTGCTTGAGGGTATGTTGAAAAACGTTAAAACTTGACTAAAAGATCATGTGAGA